AAGTTCCCTATGGAAGCTGGAATGGAACCTTCCAAGTTGCAGTGAAGACCCAGAGACTGTAATGACTTCAGATCTCCTATAGACTCTGGCAATCGCCTTCCGCAATCCACATCACCTAAATACAATCGTTGGAGAGGACTGCTCCAATTGGAATTTGGAAGATCAATAATGAGGTTTTGCCTTCCACTTAAATAAAACTTCTTGAGATTTGGAAAGCGGAAAATACCGTTTGGAAAGTTTCCTCTTAACACACTCTCGAGAAGATCAAGAGTAGTCAATGAAGAAGAGAGATTCATGAAGAGACGAGGATTAACAGATGCCATGTTCACTCCTCTAAGCACAAGTTCTCTCACCTCACTTAAGTTCTGGACAAGATTTCTCAAGGTAGTTGTTTCAAGGATCAATTCAGAAGAATCAGAATAAGGGTCATTAGAGAGATTGAGAGAAACTAACTTGGGGAGGTGAGCAGTTTCTCCCGGAATTTGGCCCGAAAATTGAGAAAAAGAGACATCAAGATGCTTTAGTCTAGTAAACTGACTGATTTTTGATGGAATCTTGGAATGCCTAAAATCATTGAAGGCAAGATTGAGGCTCTGTAGGTTTTTGAGGAAGAAAAGAGTGCTGTTGGAAGGAAAGGTGCCATAAAGGAAACTGCAGCTAAGATTAAGGGCAATAACATGGCCTGTGACATTATCACAGCTAACCCCATCCCAAGAACAACAGTCTATACCTTCCTTCCATGACTCAATCTTAGAATAATTTTCCCCACAATAATATGGATCGGAAACAAAGTAGTTGATGGAGAAGGATGTCTTGAATTGCAGCAAAGCAAGAGCCTCCTCATGAGAGCAGAGATGCGTTGTTGAGAAGGAAGAAGCATGTAAAAAGGATGAGAAGGCAGTTTTAAGACAGAGGAAGACAAAAAGGAGGCAAAGTGGTGCAATGAGATTTGTGAAGATCCTCATATCTTTGTTTGGCGCAAGAGAATACTCAAGAAGAGCATATATAGAGTGTTTAAAATTGAGGTATGCTAATAATTGAATATATTCCATCAAAACAAAAATAAATGAATATCGAATGTAATATTGACGCATTGGCGGATGTCATTTTCCAATCTACTTTTTTACTTCTCTTTTATTTATTTTTTTGAAATTAGATGGAGTACTTAAGGATTATAATCACATTATTAATAAGTCTTCAATTAACAATTTAAATCTCAATAAAAAGTTGTTACATTTGTTATATTGCGATATAAAAAAGGTATTTCTCTCACTTAAAAAATAGAATTAATAATTTAAAAAGATTATTTATTTACATTTCTTAATATATATATATATATCCATATATATAACAAATATTAGTAGATAAATATTAATATTAAAAAATTATTTAATGTAATTTACAATCACTTGCTTTAAATGGGATGAGCAGAATGAATACTGTAGCCATTTTCTATCATTCTCATTCTAGACTTTATGTACTTGCAAAATTTTTATATTTTTATCTCTTAGAATGAATTTGAATGATTGGTAAAAAAGGACAATTATGTATTCTATATATCAAAGAAGGAAAAGTTTATAAATAAAAGTCTTTAATAAATTAGATTTAGATTATACTATCATTGTTATTTTAATTTGAGCCTAATTATGAGTCATAAATAGAAGATTAGCTAGTTTTCTATCAAATTTATAATCAATTAAGTGAAAAAAAAATGTTCATCATCTTTAAAATCTGTAGTTTTACTTGGAAACGAAAGTTTATGACCAGGAACAAAAAAAAGGACCCAAGTCTTTGACTCTTTGCAGATGTAACTCATGAAAAAATAACCTCTTTTAATTTTTTTTTTTTTTTGCAAACATTGTTTTGATCTGATCTAATCAACAAGGCAAAAGTTTTCACATTAATGAAAGACTTGATTGAGTCTTGGTCATGCTATTATGATCTAAGTTTTCGTCAATGTCCTTGTGTTCAAATTGTAAAACGGACTTTTTTTTTTCCCCCTTTTGAGGTTTTAACTAATATTAATTACTCTTACTCTACGCTTGTGATGGATGATGTTTACATATGAACTACTATTATGATTAGGTTAAATACCTTTTTTGGTCCCTCTACTATAGGAAAAAGTCCCTTTTTAATCCTTGTACCGAAAAAATTTTTTTTTTGGTCCTTATTGTTCACAAATCCGGCCCCTTTTTGATCCTTCCGTTAATTTTTGGCTGACGTGGCAAGTTAATTAACGGAAATTGCTGATTATTTGTTATATAAATAATATAATAAATTGCATCAAAATTACGTGTACAAAATTATAATATACGTAAACATTTCATCTAAATATTTTATTTACATGTACAAATTAAAAATTTTGTTTATTAATGAATGAATTAAATTAGTTTAATTAGCTTTAATTTCACCCTTAATTTCTCCCTGTTCTTCTTCTTTGATCTTCGTTCTCCTCATCCTTATCCTCGGCCTTATCTTCATCTTCAGCATCATGGCATCATGAAATCACCATCTTCTTCCCCTCCCCTTCATCATCGCGGAACCCAATCACCATCTTCTTCCCCTCCCCTTCATCATCGCGGAACCCAATCACCATCTTCTTCCCCTCCCCTTCATCATCGCGGAACCCAGCTTCTGGGTTCCCCGCATGGAACCCAGATTTGGGTTCCTGGGTTCCACGACCCAGATCTGGGTTCCTCGTGGAACCCAGATCTGGGTTCCGTCCCTCTGTTTTTTTTTTTTCATTTTGAATGTACCCATATTGCATAATGGAGCCGAATGAAACCAAAGTTCTATATTCGTTTTTGAATCAGAGAAGTTCTGGGTTGATTACGAAACCCAAATTGTGTTTGATATGTGGCTTTGAAATTGCAGGGGATAGATTCGTATTGTTGTGGCTTTGAACTTGTGACCAAAAAGGGTGTTTAATTTCGTAACCTTTAAACATTTTCCTTTTGGTTGGATTT